CCTGGTCTGTAATGTCTGGCTCCCAACAAGGAAAAAGAGAAAAATGTAATAGGAGGGGCAGGACCGTTAAGCCCCTGGAAGTTACTTTAGCAATAGTGAGGAAAGGTGCAACAATAATGGCTGCCTGCCTCTTTGTACCTCTGTTATTAGAAGCAGCAGTGACTAGGACTTGGAAAGGATCTTTAGAAGAAAAAAAAAAAGCAGCAGTTAACAGTACACAGATCCTCAGTATTCACAGAATAAGGTTCTTTTTTCATGCCCTGATTCCCACAAGCTCTGTGCAAGCTGCTCCAGCAACAAGTGCACAGCTGCCTGCCAAGGGGCTGGGGCTGGTAATGGGGGATGGGTAGTTGCTACTGTACTGAGAGCCGAAATTGATAGAAATTAGCCACGTTTTACCATCCAAAACTTTCCCTAGAAGTTATAAGCCTTCAGTAGACTAGAGTTCCAAAATAGTTACATCAGACAGATCCTGTTGTCTGGGTGAGGAGACAGAGTCCTGGTGCTTTCTAATCTACCATCTTCCCAGAATCTCAATAATATCTTACAGCTAAAGGATCCATTTCAGAATCACACATTGCATTTAATCATCACATCTCCATCAGTGTTCTCCTCCAGTGTTCAGTCTTTCCTTAGCTCTCATGACCATGACACTTTTGAAGTTATTTTGTAGCATTTCTCTGAATGTAGTTTTGTCTGATGTTTTCTCATGATTAGAATGAGGTTATACATTCTCAGCATCAGTATTGCAGAAGCGATGGTGCATTCTTTTCATTGCACCCTTTCTAGTAACACATGGTTTCACTGTGCTCCATCACTGGTGTTGTTAACTTTGATCTCCTGATTATGGTGGGGCTTACCAGACTTCCTTACTGTGAAGTTACTTTTTCTCTTTGTAATTAATAAGTGTTTTATCAGGAGACACTAATATTTTTAAACAGGTTACATATTCTGTTCATCTTTAAACTTGAATTCATTTATTTAGGAAATTTTTTATTTTGTATTCTAGAAAATTTATTTGGGAAAATTGACATACATATTTGTAACAGTATAGACTCATCGTTTCCCATTATAACGATCATTATTTATTTATTTTGAAGCTCAAATTGCCCTTGATTTGACCAACAGGATTCCATTCAAGCCGGCTTTTGTTGTTCTTTTGACATGTCCGCATCCTTGCATTCTGGTACTGTTGTACTATCCCTGCTTCAGTCCTGGAATCAGTCATTTCTCCAAGGATCCATCGTTCCTATTAAGGAAAGGTGGTTTTTACAGGCTAAGATCTGGACTCTAGATGTACTCACTGTTAGTGGGATGTCACTGCTCCCTAGACCTCTCAGTGGTCAGAGCTAGGGAATGTGTGTGTGTTTAGAGATTTACATTTCTGTTTCCATATCTATCAAAAACCATGTTTTTACACCAGTAGTTCCAATTCCATTCTCGCACCAAGGAAATTCTAATTTCCAGATTGATAACCCACTTTTCTGGCAGTGAGAAACCTAGCTTACGTTGTCTTTAATATATTTACTGATTTGATCAGTCCTCTGTATGCAACCATTTTTTCTGCCAATTTTTCTGCTGCCTCTGCTACTACCTCCTTACTTGCACAGATCTACTCCTCATCCTGCTAAGCTTTGCCATTCCATCCTCACTGAAAACCGTGAATGCCCTTCTTACTTCACTTTGGCTCCAACAGCTTACACTTGATTACCACTCTATGTGGACGCCCTTCCTACCTGTCTGGGCTTAAAGCTGATACATTCATCAGTGGATACCCTTCTTATAGTTTGTTTGGGAATCTGTCCTAATGCCTGGTCATTTATAATTTTGGTAACTTTTTAAAAATTATCCTTTGCATTTCTTTGATTACTTTTACCATCTTCTCATGTCAAGAGACAATATATCGGCCAGCTGCGGTGCCTTACGCCTGTAATCCCAACACTTTGGGAGGCCGAGGCAGGTGGATCACCCGAGGTGAGGAGTTCGAGACTAGCCTGGCCAATATGGTGAAACCCCATTTCTAACAAAAATTAGCTGGGCGTGGTGGCGCATGCCTGTAATTCCAGCTACTTGGGAGGCTGAGGCACGAGAATGGCTTGAACCTTGGAGATGGAGGTTGCTGTGAGCCGAGATCATGCCACTGCACTCCAGCCTGGGTGACAGAGCAAGACTCTGTTGCAGAAAAAAAGAAAAAAAGAGGGAGAGACAACATATCAAAAATATCATAAAGCCAAAATTATGACAGTTTGTCAGGATCATTCCCTTATTCCCTAATTATCTTCTCATTTACTAAGGATCATATATTTTATGTTTGGTAAAGGAAGACTTTATGGAAATCTAAATTGGGTATAGTGTTTTTGAACTTGAGAACACTATTTCATCATAGTCTAATGTGTGATTTACTTCTGAAACATAGGCAGCCATTTTATGTTGAGTAAACATTCTTTGAAGATGGATAAGCCCTCAGCTAAACTACAGTAGTACAAAGAAAAGAAAAAGGAAAAAAAACTACAGCAGTAGTAGTCCCATGCTTTGTATGGCAGTTGTTTTCATTTATTGTCTATTTTCATTTTTAATGTTGAGATGAAGAAGACCCTGTTTGACATTATTTTATTATGAACATTGTTAACATTATTCTTTTTAAAATTGTTCTCTATTTCTGTTCTGATTTTTCTTTTATTCTCCTCCCCCATGCAGTTTCCCCTCCTTTTTTTATTTTTAAAATCTAAAATTTGGCAAAGGATAATTTTGTTCAAGTCAGAATTTCTATAAAAGGAAATTATTTGAATATCTGATATGTCTCTCACCCAGTGTTTCTGCCCACATTACAATCAGGCACACACATTTATCAAAGTTAACAAGTCCAGAAAAAGCCACTGATAACCTTTGTTAAGCTTACTAGGAACTATAATGTTCTAGAATACTACCTCTAGTGAGGATAGTGCAGTTATTCAGGAAAGATTCATATAAAAGTTTGCCAAGCTGAAAGACTATTTCGTACTTCTTGAGCACTGCCACAAAAATATTATCAGAATTGTAATTGTTTCAATATTTGTCAGAAGGACACAGGAGAATTAACATTAATGAGCTTACTGTATTCTAGGCCCAAGTGCTCACCATGACCCTAGGAGGCAGATGCTGTTTTCCCATTTTACTGATAATAAAACTGCACCTCGGCAGTAATTAGGAAACTGCTTCAATCACAGAGTAAGAGGCAGAGATTTAATGAGACTACAAAGCCTATGTTCTTTTCCCTTGACCATGGTGCTGCTGTCTGTCAGAAGAGGAAAGATTCAGCACCTTTGGATTATCTCATTAGTATGATACAGATAATTCAGTTTTATAGCAATCTAGGTGCTTTCTCTGGAAGAAATTATTTTTCTGCCAGTCATCTGTCCAGATCATTATATATCAGGTCATTTCTAATTATCTAGAGTAATTGCAAAGCTTACTTTCATGGAAAAGATAACTGACTACCTGTGAAAAGCATTTTCTTGTGAATCCCATACATCCAGCTGAAATAAAAGACACTCTTAGAATGATCCTTTAACATCTTCCAAAATCTGTTAACTTACAGCTTTCCGGAAGTGATTTTTTTGTGGGATTTATAGAGATACATTCATCCTGCTGCAGTAGTTCTTGTTAAAACCAACAATAGTGATGCATTGGTCTGCAGCGTGCTCTATGGTTGTTTCATTCCAGAGAGATGGGAAGGAAATTAGTCTATGGCACAAGTCTAGGGCACTACCTGCTCTCAAGGGCTGAATTTATCATGTATTTGATCATCAAAAAATTTTAAGAAGAACTCTGGTATTTTGTGACATTCAAATGTGAATTCTTAGATTTAACTGTTACTCCTACAAAAATGGTTTAAAGCACTGTCTGATAACTTGTTTAAAAACAAGCAGTGACTTTTCATGGTTATAAAATCCATGAGTTTGTAATTGTGCTTGTAAAAAGAAGGCAAAAACAAATAAAAACTCCTTGGTAACCGCTGGGCCTAACTCAATGCTAAAATTTAAAGAGAGCTATATTAAGAATCTATTCTGCCTTTTCTATCGAATTGTATTTCAGGATAATCAGAATAGGTCTAGTTGATAAAGTTATTCTCTACAGAAGAATTCTACCCCATGGAAGGAGTGGTATGATTAGATAATCACCATTTTTAACTTGTATTAAAATAAGTGATTCAACAACAATCAGTGGCCAAAACCATTGATAGTCTGCACATGGTGGCTCATGCCTATAATCCCAACTCTTTGGGAGGCCAGTAGATCACTTGAGCCCAGGAATTCCAGACTGGCCTGGACAACATGGTGAGACCCCTTCTCTACAAAAAACACAAAAATTAGCTGGATGTGTAGGTACACACCTGTAGTTCCACCTACTCAGGAGGCTAAGTTGGGAGGATCAATTGAGCCTGGGAGGTGGAGACTGCAATGAGCCATGATCACACCACTATACTCCAGCCTTGGCGACAAAGTGAAACCCTGTCTCAGAAAAAAAGGGGGTGATTTATGAAGAAGTTTACAATAGTGGGATTAGATTGTCACTACCTAAATCTAGTGGTCGTTTTTATCATCACTAAAAACCATTTAAGCCTCCTGGCATGAAACCATAGAAATACATACTGAGGTATATAAAGAGGAAATGACATATATGGGATTTGCTAGAAATACTTCAGATAAAAGGGAAGGGAGGACAAAGATGCTGTAAGAATGGTAAAATCTTAAAAACTGTTAAATCTGGGTGATGAGTGTATAAGGGTTCATTATACTGGTCTCACTTTTGTGGATTTTTATTACACAAAGTTTTATGATAGCACCAGTGTTTTGGGAATGACAAAATTGAAAAGAAAATTACTTAAGTCTTTTTTTCTGTGTCTTTTTTACCGCAAACATAATGGTTTTATCTGTGTTTCATCACATAAAGTTGTTATCCCCATACTTGTGAGAATCACCCTATAAAGTTACAGAAGTAATATCATGTCCTTTCGACAGATCTTTCCCTAGACCATTCTGACCTAGTTGCAGAGTTGTTGAAGGAGCTGTCTAACCATAATGAGCGTGTAGAAGAAAGAAAAATCGCCCTCTATGAACTTATGAAACTGACACAGGAAGAATCTTTTAGTGTTTGGGATGAACACTTCAAAACAATATTGCTTTTATTGCTTGAAACCCTTGGAGATAAAGAGGTAAATGGCAAAATGTGTAAACAGTAGCCTGTCCTTTCTGTCTCTTTTAGATTGCCTGTTAATCCAGTGCTACACGGATTTAGAAATTGGAAGCATGAGTCTCTTCTGCTGCTTCTTTCTGCATGAACTTTTCACTAGGAAGTACTTTTTCTTCTAAACCAAGTAGCTCAACAATTTTGAACAATTAACAACAGGAAAAATGAAAGGTTGCAGGCTGAATTCTTATAGAAAAGTACATGTTACTTGTTTTACATATTTAGATTAGTTGCTCAGGAGCAACTTTTTATTTATTTATTTATTTATTTATTGAGAAGTAATCTCATTCTCAAGCCCAGGCTGGAATGCAGTGGTGTGATCTCAGCTCACTGCAACCTCCGCCTCGCAGGCTCCAGCGATTCTTCTGCCTCAGCCTCCTGAGTAGCTGGGATTATAGGCACGTGCCACCACCCGTGGCTAATTTTGTATTTTTGGTAGAGACGGGGTTTCACCATGTTGGCCAGGCTGGTCTCGAACTGCTGACCTCAAGTGATCCACCTGCTTCAGCCTTCCAAAGAGCTGGGATTACTGGCATGAGCCACCATGCCCAGCTCCAAAACTCCTTTTTATAGTCTGAATGTAGTTGTTGATTTCTTGCAAATACAGTAAGTGTAATATAAATTTTCAACTAGAGATAAGAAAACTTAATTATGTAGTATAACGCATACTTTATGCAGTTGTCTGCAACTCCTCCCCCATTATTAAGACCCTTAAGTTACAAAAATTGAAAATGTTGGCTGGGCGCGGTGGCTCAAGCCTGTAATCCCAGCACTTTGGGAGGCCGAGACGGGCAGATCATGAGGTCAGGAGATCGAGACCATCCTGGCTAACGTGGTGAAACCCCGTCTCTACTAAAAAATACAAAAAACTAGCCGGGCGAGGTGGCGGGCGCCTGTAGTCCCAGCTACTTGGGAGGCTGAGGCAGGAGAATGGCGTAAACCCGGGAGGTGGAGCTTGCAGTGAGCTGAGATCCGGCCACTGCACCCCAGCCTGGGCAACAGAGCGAGACTCTGTCTCAAAAAAAAAATTGAAAATGTTAAAGATTATCTACAACCCAAAATATTAAAAACATTTAAATGTTTCTTCTTAGCCTACAATCAGGGCTTTGGCGTTAAAGGTTTTAAGAGAAATCCTAAGGCATCAACCAGCAAGATTTAAAAACTATGCAGAATTGACTGTCATGAAAACATTGGAAGCACATAAAGATCCTCATAAGGAGGTAAGTTACCTGGAGGTTAAATTATTATTTCATTATTTTATTTCATGAAACATGTAAACATTGTATAAAATGTAGCCTTATTAATGATTTTCTTGAACATTTGCCTTGACATTCAGGGTAATACCTGATCAAGAAGCAAGCATATTTTTTTCTGTTAAATGAATTAAACAGTGATATCATGGCCTTTCACCTAAAATAGGCCAGCTCTAGGAAATAATTTATTTAATTTCGTTTTCTCCTTCACTTTGAGTTTTCTACTTAGAGTTTAGCAATCTTGTTTTCACTTTTCATTTAGCAATAAGAATTTGATTTTTTAAAATAACTAATGAAGATAAGAAATCATGGTTTTGGGGGGGTTGGTTGTTCGTTTGTTGAGTCAGGGTCTCACTCGGTTGCCCAGGCTGGAGTGCAGTGGTGTGATCACAGCTCACTGCAGCCTCAGCCTCCTGGTTCCAGCGATCCTCCCACCTCAGCTTCCTGAGTAGCTGGGACTGTAGGCATGCGCCAGCACACCTGGCTAATTTTTGGTATTTTTTATAGAGATGAAGTTTCACCATGTTGCCCAAGCAGGTCGTTGTTATTTTTAAGCGATAAATTGCCTAGAGGAGCTATTTATCTGCTACAAGTTTATTCACCAAAGTAGTGAGGACAGCTTTCATGGAAGAGTTCCATGAACCTGTTTCATAGTACTTGGTAGTCATGATATCTCTCTCCCCTTCTTCACCAGTGACATTGATTAGATAACTGTGAGGATTTGTGTTATAATCTCAGAAAGAATTAGAAAAAAAAGTTCAAATAGGGACTACATTTTTTTTTATTTCAATAGATTTTTTGAGCAACATGGTGTTTGGTTATATGAATAAGTTATTTAGTGGTGATTTCTGAGATTTTGGTGCATCCATCACCTGTGCAGTGTACACTATACCCAATGTGTAGTCTTTTATCCCTCATCCTGCTCCCACTCTTTCCCCCAAGTCCCCAGAGTCCATTGTATCATTTTATACCTTTGCACCCTTGTAGCCTAGCTCCCATTTATGAATGAGAATGTATGATGTTTGGTTTTCCATTCCTGAGTTACTTCACTTAGAATAAAGGTCACCAATTCCATCCAGGTTTCTGCGAATGCCATTATTTCCTTCATTTCTATGGCTGAGTAGTATTCCATGGTGTGTGTGTGTATATATACACATACACTTGGTGTGTGTGTGTGTGTGTGTGTATATATATACACATACAAAATTTCTTCATTCATTGATTGATGGGCATTTGGGCTTTTTCCATATTTTTGCAATTGCAAATTGTGCTGCTATAAACACCTGTGTGCAAGTACCTTTTTCATATCATGACTTCTTTTTTTCTAGGTAGATACCCAGTAGTGGAATTGCTGGATCAAATGGTAGTTCTACTTTTAGTTCTGTAAGGACTATATATCTAAGAGAAAGCAACTGAGAAATAGCATTAAGTATCTCTGGTAGAACCAAGACAGAAGCAAAAGACAGATCAAAAAAGGAAGGTTAAAATAGAAACGAGATAAAATGAATCAGAGCTAAATGCAAGAGCTAAAGCTATAAACCTCTCCAAAGAAAGCAGAGGTATAAATCTTTATTACTTTGGATTAGGCAGTGATTTCATAATATAACTAAAAGCAGAAGCAACCAGCAACAACAAAAAAGATAATTTGGACTTCTTCAAAATTAAATACTTTTGTGCTTTATTAGCTTAGTGGTCAGCTAGAGGTAACACTTTTAAAACAAATTTGGCCGGGCATGATGGCTTTGCCTGTTATTTCAACACTTTGGGAGGCCGAGGCAGGTGGATCACTTGAGGTCAGGAGTTCGAGACCAGCCTGGCCAACATGACAAAACCCCATCTTCACTAAAAATACAAAAATTAGCCAGGTGTCATGGTGGATACATCTAATCCCATCTATTTGGGAGGCTGAGGCAGGAGAATTGCTTGAACCTGGGAGGCAGAGGCTGCAGTGAGCCAAGATCATGCCACTGCATTCCAGTCTGGGTGACAGAGCAAGACTTGTCTCAAAAATAAAAATAAAATAAATTAAAAAATCAAAATATTTTCTGTCTTTCAAAGGACATTATCTTGAAAGTGAAAAGATAACTCATAGAATGGGAGAAAAAATTTGCAGACATGTATCTGATAAGGTACTAATATCCATATATATATTCTTACAACACAGCAATGAAAAGATGGCCCAATTTTTTAAATGGACAAAGGATCTGAATAAACATTTCTCCAAAGATACACAAATGGCAATAAGCACATGAAAAGATGGTCAACATCATTAGTCATTAGGAAAATGTAACCAAAGCCACAGTGAGAGATCACTTAACACCCAAAAGAAATACAGACAATACGTTGGTGAGGATGCAGGGAAATTGAAACCCTTGGGGTAATTACTTTTTTAAAAGATTTGACTGTGACTCTTCTAGAAGAGTGAATCATAACTTTTAAATATATCTGGATTTTTGCAGGGGTTTTGGGTTTTCTTTGTTTTGAGACCGAGTCTCGCTCTGTCACCCAGGCTGGAGTGCAGTGGCACGATAGCCCACTGCAACCTTTGCCTCCTGGGTTCAACAGGTTCTCCTGCCTCAGCCTCCCAAATAACTGGAATTACAGGTGTGCACCAACATGCCCTGCTAATTTTTGTGTAGAAACGGGGTTTTGCTGTGTTTGCCAGGCTGGTCTCAAACTCCTGGCCTCAAGTGATCTGCCTGGCTTGGCCTCCCAGAGTGCTGGGATTACAGACTTGAGCCACCTTGCCCAGCCCAGTTTTGTTTTCTGTTTCTGATTTTGTTTTATTCCATCAGTGTTCAGTAGTGATACACCTATGGCATTTCACTGAAAGTTTAAAAATGATGTCTAATATTTGTAGTTATTTACCTTTTGACCCAAATAAGGCCTGTAGCATCCCT